CAATTTAAGCATTCAAGAGACACAAATGCATGTACAGGTAAAAGGAAAAATTATGTAAAACTATATATAACATTAAAATGTAAATTATGTGTTAAAATATATAATTTATTGGAACTAAGCTGTAAAAATAAATATGAAGGACAATTAAATTATAGGTAAAGTTCTCCTTTTTAATTTATTTGGTGCATTTTAAATGTATTTATTTAAAGGTTCGTTTATCTATTTATGTTTTTATTTCTAATTATGTCAGTGTCGGTCCTCCYTACTGCAGAACATGGAAGAGACTGGATCAGGTGTGTTGGAGCAGAGAAAAATGTAAAAGATGCAGGGCTGCGGCCCCCCAGGACCAMGYTTGCCCACCCTGCTCTATAGAATGAACCATCTAGAGAAGAGTGCTGTATAAATGTGTAAATGAGGACATAGGTTGTAGTATAAAGCATTTTGTTTATCCTATTTGAATAGAAAGATGCTGTACAAATACAATTTTTCATTCTGATTTTCTCTCATTGTTTTTTATTCCCAATTAGATGATTCATCTGGGCGTCCTCTAAGCCCCAAATCGTCTTTGTCGCTGTCATCTAACCCTTCATCCAGGGATTCCTCTCCCAGTCGGGACCTGTCCATCAGCATCAGCTGTCTCAGGCCTCCAGTCGTCATCCACAGCTCTGGGAGGAGGTTTGGCTTTGCTCTGCGAGCTATCAGAGTATACATGGGAGACAGTGATGTTTACACTGTCCACCACATGGTGTGGGTATGTGCACTCAGTTTGATATGGCTCTTACTAATGTCAAATACAAGTTTTTTATTAAATACAGATACTGTAAAAAAATGATAAAAAAAGATAAGGTAAATATCTTCAAATTTTGATTTGTAAACAAGTAGATCTAAAAATAACCTATTAAGGCACTTGTTTTTTCTTTTTTGTCACAAAACATACAACAATGCGATGGTGTGAGACACGTTTGTATTTATCCCTGTTTACTGTATTACCCCTGATAAAAATCCAGAGCTTAAACTGATTTCACAGAGCAATTAATCACTGATGAGTTCACCAGTGTGTATTTTATTTTTAGTATAAATCCAGTTGTTCTGTGAAACTGTCAGAAGTTAGTCACAAAACGTTTGTACGGTAGCCCATAAGGGTCAACAGAATGCAAAAACCACAACACGATTGTAAAAGCCACAACACAGCATCATAACAAAAGCCACAACACAACAATATAACAAAAGACACAACATTATAACAAAAGCCACAACACAACAACGAAAGCCACAACGGAAGTCATGCTAAAATGGAAGTTATGCTAAAGCAGAATTTGAATCTAGAAATTCTTCCAGGGAATTCAAAATTTTAAAATAGTCAACCTAATTTAATATTTGAAATTTACTCAGCTGTTTGAAAAAATGAGATTTTTTTGTATCTTTTATTTTTATATGAGCACTGATCCAGTTCACATACGTACCAGTAGGTGGCAGTAATGTGCTGCATGGTTATTTGCCAACTGCCAAATAGAAACTAAGAAGAATAACAGAAGTTGATTCACAGGAGTTGAGATGTGTTGTGGCTTTTGCCGTCATATTGTGTTGTGGCTTTTACTGTATTGTTATGTTGTGGCTTTTGTTGTCGTGTTATGTTGTGGCTTTTGCATTCTGTCAACCCTTATGGGCCACCGTACATTTGTGATCAAACAGCATTACGAGGACCAAGGAACACAGCTACTAGGTCAGTGTTAAGTTGAAAAAGAATATTACAAGCATCTCACTGTGCAGTTTGTCATCTGAAAAATTAAAAAATAATAATAATAATTAAAACGGCACATTTGAAAAGATAAGTAAAGTTTATTAACCTGAGAAAGCAGACAAGAAGCCCAGGGTTACTTTGGAGGAGCAGCAGAGGTCCACAGCTCAGGGGACTGAATTCAAATGCACACCACACTTTAAATTTTTGCATATGTAAAACAAAAAATTAAATGATAATAAATGACATCATTTTCCTTCCACTTCACATTTTTGTGCAACAATGTATTGGTTAGTCATGTGCAATAACAAATTTATTTGTACTCTTTGTTAAATAAAGAAAATCCACAACAGTCACTGAAATAACTTGAAACTGACCAAGTAATAAGGAAAAATACTAACAACTCCACTAATATAAAATAATAAAGATCAGTCATTGCTTTTGAATTTTGGTTCAACTTAGTTGTTTAAAAACAAACCAATAAAACTGGCCTTAACAGAAAACATGATACCTTTAGAAATTATTTAAAATCATTTGGCCATAGGTGCATGTTAAGATGTGTCCATTAGAGCAGAGATTCTTAGAGTGCCACCTTGAGGGCCTCAAAAGAACAACAGTTTTTAACTTTGGGCCACAGAGGGCCATGGGACCACATTGATTTTAA